GTAGCCAGGCAACTTGTAGGACTTGTGGTAGCCAGGCAACTTGTGGTAGCCAGGCAACTTGTAAAACTTGTGGTAGCCAGGTAACTTGTAGGACTTGTGGTAGCCAGGCAACTTGTAAAACTTGTGGTAGCCAGGCAACTTGTAGGACTTGTGGTAGCCAGGCAACTTGTAAAACTTGTGGTAGCCAGGCAACTTGTAGGACTTGTGGTAGCCAGGCAACTTGTAAAACTTGTGGTAGCCAGGCAACTTGTAGGACTTGTGGTAGCCAGCAACTTGTAAAACTTGTGGTAGCCAGGCAACTTGTAGGACTTGTGGTAGCCAGGCAACTTGTAAAACTTGTGGTAGCCAGGCAACTTGTAGGACTTGTGGTAGCCAGGCAACTTGTAAAACTTGTGGTAGCCAGGCAACTTGGAGGACTTGTGGTAGCCAGGCAACTTGTAAAACTTGTGGTAGCCAGGCAACTTGTAGGACTTGTGGTAGCCAGGCAACTTGTAGGACTTGTGGTAGCCAGGCAACTTGTAAAACTTGTGGTAGCCAGGCAACTTGTAGGACTTGTGGTAGCCAGGCAACTTGTAAAACTTGTGGTAGCCAGGCAACTTGTAGGACTTGTGGTAGCCAGGCAACTTGTAAAACTTGTGGTAGCCAGGCAACTTGTAGGACTTGTGGTAGCCAGGCAACTTGTAGGACTTGTGGTAGCCAGGCAACTTGTGGTAGCCAGGCAACTTGTGGTAGCCAGGCAACTTGTAAAACTTGTGGTAGCCAGGTAACTTGTAGGACTTGTGGTAGCCAGGCAACTTGTAAAACTTGTGTTAGCCAGGTAACTTGTAGGACTTGTGGTAGTCAGGCAGCTTGTGGTAGCCAGGCAACTTGGAGGACTTGTGGTAGCCAGGCAACTTGTAAAACTTGTGGTAGCCAGGCAACTTGTAGGACTTGTGGTAGCCAGGCAACTTGTGGTAGCCAGGCAACTTGTAAAACTTGTGGTAGCCAGGTAACTTGTAGGACTTGTGGTAGCCAGGCAACTTGTAAAACTTGTGGTAGCCAGGTAACTTGTAGGACTTGTGGTAGCCAGGCAACTTGTAAAACTTGTGGTAGCCAGGTAACTTGTAGGACTTGTGGTAGTCAGGCAACTTGTGGTAGCCAGGCAACTTGGAGGACTTGTGGTAGCCAGGCAACTTGTAAAACTTGTGGTAGCCAGGTAACTTGTAGACTTGTGGTACCAGGCAACTTGTGGTAGCCAGGCAACTGGAGACTTGTGGTAGCAGGCAACTTGTAAGAACTTGTGGTAGCCAGGCAACTTGTAAAACTTGTGGTAGCCAGGTAACTTGTAGGACTTGTGGTAGTCAGGCAACTTGTGGTAGCCAGACAACTTGGAGGACTTGTGGTAGCCAGGCAACTTGTAAAACTTGTGGTAGCCAGGCAACTTGGAGGACTTGTGGTAGCCAGGCAACTTGTAAAACTTGTGGTAGCCAGGCAACTTGTAGAACTTGTGGTAGCCAGGCAACTTGTAAAACTTGTGGTAGCCAGGCAACTTGTAGAACTTGTGGTAGCCAGGCAACTTGTAGAACTTGTGGTAGCCAGGCAACTTGGAGGACTTGTGGTAGCCAGGCAACTTGTAAAACTTGTGGTAGCCAGGCAACTTGTAGAACTTGTGGTAGCCAGGCAACTTGTAAAACTTGTTGTAGCCAGGCAACTTGTAGGACTTGTGGTAGCCAGGCAACTTGTAAAACTTGTGGTAGCCAGGCAACTTGTAGGACTTGTGGTAGCCAGGCAACTTGTAGAACTTGTGGTAGCCAGGCAACTTGTAGGACTTGTGGTAGCCAGACAACTTGTAGAACTTGTGGTAGCCAGGCAACTTGTAGAACTTGTGGTAGCCAGGCAACTTGTAAAACTTGTGGTAGCCAGGCAACTTGTAGGACTTGTGGTAGCCAGGCAACTTGTAAAACTTGTGGTAGCCAGGCAACTTGTAGGACTTGTGGTAGCCAGGCAACTTGTAAAACTTGTGGTAGCCAGGCAACTTGTAGGACTTGTGGTAGCCAGGCAACTTGTAGGACTTGTGGTAGCCAGGCAACTTGTAGAACTTGTGGTAGCCAGGCAACTTGTAAGACTTGTGGTAGCCAGGCAACTTGTTGGACTTGTGACGAAAACCAGACGCATTCATCTGGTTTGTTTACATTATGTGTGGGTGGGTGGGGTAGGGAGGGCTGCCCTTCCTGGCTACCCATACTTTCCAACTTTACTTCATACAAATAAAACTCACCTCTCACCCTACATTAAGACTACAGATATTTTAAGGTAATTAACCCTTAAACAGTCCAAACAGATCGACATTCAAATTCGTAGCTACAAAAGGAGATCTATCTTTTTTTACATATTTTCAAATATAACAAAAAAAAATGTAGATAAATGTTTTTGTTTACACGTTTTCAAATGTAAAACAAGATGGAAGATCTACATTTTTTTACATACTTTCAGATGTTGAAAAAACGTATATGTACGTTTGGACCATTTAACCCTTTGACTGTTTTCAACATATAAATACGTCTTACGAGCCAATGTTTCTGACGTATATATACTCAATAATTCTAGCGGCTTCAAATCAAGCGGGAGAAAGCTGGTAGGCCCACATGTGAGAGAATGGGTCTGTGTGGTCAGTGTGCACCACATAAAAAAATCCTGCAGCACACATTGCGTAATGAGAAAAAAAAAACTGATCGTTTTCTTAGAATAAAACGCCGACTTTGAGGTGTATTTTCGTATAGTATTTATCGTTGTATTCGCGTTTTCATGGTGTTAGGTGATAAAATGGAAAACGTATTACAGAAATAGAGATGATTTTCATTACTTTTACGATGAAAACGACCTTGAAACTGAGCTCAAAGTAGCGGAAATGTTCGATTTTTACCAATGTTCAAGAGTAAATAAATCACACCACACGTCCAATACACGTCAACTGGGGAGTCTAATATTCTTTCACTAGTGCACTGATATTATTTATACCATTTTTACAATAATGCAGTCATCTGCATAACAGTAAATTTTGTATTTTTTTGTATGAATAAAAAATCAAAATAGAAAGCAATAATAATATAAGAGGGGCCTAGAGATGTGACTAATGAACAGAGCATATGTTATTTTAGTGCCATGAATGTCTACTTTGTTTATTCTGGACCCTATTTTGAAATTGGCATCTTTTTTAGTTTGCGTGAAATTGGCCAAATTGCCAATTTCTGACCACCATATTGGGTAGTCCAAATTAGTAAATGGGAGGTTTCTTGTACTCAGCTGATAGATAAAATGGAGTTCTAAAGAAATAGCTATGAGTTTGGTCAACTGGAACAATGGAATTGGCTGAAAATAGGGCTCAAAGTCGGCGAAATCGCCGATACGCATATGTCGCCGAGACCGCTAACTTCGCGGGAGCATAATTCCACGATTTTTCGACCAAATTTCGAACTTTTGGTGTCATTACCATCGGGAAAAGATTCTCTATCATTTCATAAGAAAAAATAATTTTTTTTTTTCAAAAATTGAGCAACATAGAATGACAGTTTCAGAGAGGGGCCTGAAACAGTCAAAGGGTTAAGGGTTAATGAGTGTACTGTATATGCATTGTCAAAGTATAATTGGGAATACTCTAACTCTGTAGACTCATTTGTGATGGGACATTCTGGGAGGATGCTATTTCCACTGGTGTCAAAATTGAAAGTATGTGGCACGAATGTTGTACTTTGTGTCCAGTTCCATTCACCATCTGATGGTTTAGGGTGGACCTATGACATGGGGCATGGGGTAGCAGGAGGGACGGGAGTGGAGGCATCACATGGTTGAGGGAGTGCCGGCCTGTCCTTTGTCTGCCCGCCCACTGTGCCATGTGGCCCAGGCACCATGCCACCCACCACCTCCTCCTCCATCCCTGCATATTCCCCTTCATGATCAGTATCACTGTCGTTGGCCAGGGTTTTTGGTCATGACCTGCCACGACCCTTGGGGACCGCATATGGCACACTGCCTGAATGTAGGTGATGCTGCCTAAAGGTACGCTTCACTGGGAAATAATGTGTATCACTATCACTCGAAGAATCCTCTAGGGGCATAAAATCAATCTCATCATCACTTTTAGCACTTTCACTATTGTCATCACCAAAGCTGCAAGAAAATGATAATTTCCACTTGTGTAGTTGTCACTGAATAGTAACAGTGGCCACCTCAGAGGTGCTGGGCTGAGGGTCTGGTGTGGCCACACTGGCCACCTCAGAGGTGATGGGCTGAGAGTCATCTGGGTTATCCTCAATATTTGCACTAATTCTTCAATCATTTGTGGCCACATCAGTCTCAGAGCCACTGAACTTGGATTTTTATCACTTTCCTCTACTAAAAGTGTTAATATGACAGGGCATGAATGAATCCCAGGGGTTTGCCATGATGTTGACCCAAACTGGTGCTGAAACTAACTAGTGCTACCATGAGGTACTACGGGGTCTCTGATTTGTTTCATACTGCGCACATTGAGTGCACTGACCCATTCTCTCATGTCTAGGCCTCTCAGGCCTATTGCACCAAATTTGAAGGCAGGGAAAAATGAAACGATCTATGTTTGCAGCACTAGCAGTAAGAACATAAGTCAACATTTGGACAATTAAAGGGTTAAGTTATTTATTACTATGATACATCAGATCGCCTTTCTGGACAATGAATATACTGTATAAAACAATTATGTTACTTGCAAAGAGAGGCTGTGATCTGACTCTCATAAATGAATGAGGGGATAAGTGTGTTTAGACAATATACTGGTTGGTCTATTTTTTCAAGAATGCTTATAGTATATCCATCTCAAAATTGTTGAAAACTGTAATGAAAGGAGAATGACGTGTGGATATTTACTGTACCTTTTCTATGATAACTGGTGTACAGATTTTCATATTATAACTTACTGAATTTGTTATAGCATGGCCTAAATTTTAAATGGTCATATTTTCTCTAAAATTATGTTTGTTTCCCAGGTTACACCTTGAGAAGCCATCCAGTTTAATAAGTGTTTGGTTTGGAGGGACAATGGCAGGTGTTGTGAGAGTATCAGAAGACTCGGTACAAGCCCATCACCACCCACCTTCAAGTGTCCAAGTTGGTAAACTTCCAAGTCAAGGCCAGGTCCTCCTCAAGCTCTTTGTCCACAGTGTTGCTATGTTTACACTTCCATTTGTAGCATATTATACAAGCAAAGACTTTTTGGAAAGTAAATTTGGTGTTGAACACCCAATGAATTTTATTTATGGAGCATTATGTGCAGTAGTTATGGTGCAAATTATCATCTTTTCCTACGTGTATCAAGCATTCAAAGAAGAACAAATTGCCAGTAAACTCAAAGTAGCATTAAAGAAAGAATAAACTTTCTCACTAATATCTCACATCTTTATCTTTTAAAGTACAAGTGATAAATATAAATTTTTGTAATGTCTGTGAAATAATCACATCAAACATCTTATAAATTTAGCCATAACATTTAACTGTAAATAAAGTAATGTTGATGTTTAAACATGACAAAGTAAATAAAGAGTAGATGTGTGTTAGTACACTTGCTGAAGCTTCTTATGCATAATATCTTCATTATGGGCTGACACTTTAAAATAACTCTGGGTGAAATAACAAAATACAGTCCATTAATATGCATTCCACCAAGTGTATAACATTATTTAGGTTTTTGTACAGTATTCAATTAAGATAATAAACAAATTGAAGTTTTTCTTTCCTTGATGTGTGTGTGGCTAGAGTTGACACTTGATAACTCCGGCAATAACAGTGCATTAATTTTTCAATCTTTTCCATAATGTGGTGCACTTGTAAATTTATTATAAGTTTACAATGCAGTTCTCAGAAACATGAAAAGGTTTGTATTCCTGAGAAAATAATTTGCTCAACTACAATAGTGATTTTTAATGAAAGAAAAGTATTAAATTAATAACCATAAAAAGAAAGAGGGAAATATTTTCCTTTGGATCATCTTAGGTTATCTTAGATTAAATACAATGTAGAGGAACATGACTCATGAAACAGGAAGTCAGTTTTGACACTGAGTCACAACTGGTCTGGTGACATACCACCACAAGCTACGTGGAAAACATGATTATTAGTTCCAGAAATTTTTTCCCCTTCCTTTCACCCATGTACAGTAATACCTTGCATAGTACTGTACAGTTAATGTATGCTATAAAATACCATACTCTGCAAAAACCACACTGATCAATGCATTATTATAATGTGTTTTATTGTAATGCGTTCCAACAATAGGATTAGGTATATTCCAAACCCCTCGTTTAGGATGCACACGCTGTACTTCCCTTTCCCTCAAGAAAGGTTCCTTGATGCTGGTGAGGGACTCTTGAGCTAGGGAAATGGATATGTGCTCCAGTTCTCTGACTTAAACCTGAATATCTTCCACATCCCCCCACAGGTGCTGTATAATCCTACGGGTTTAGTGCTTCCCCCTTGATTATAAAAATAATAATGTACTTCCCATCTCCAGGACTCAAAGTCCAGCTAACTAGTTTCCCTGAATCCCTTCAGCTGTTTACATTATAATTTGAAACACTTCTTCCAATTTGGTGCAGTAACTCATTACAACAAAACAACATTAACATTATTAGCAGTATGGCTAAAGATATTACTTGTTTTACCATGTAGTTTTCTTTATTTCCAGGGCAACCCAGGTTGGGCAGAGTTACAGGAATTAGAATGCGGTGGGTTGGTCAGTAACACTACAGTCTCAACCTGCTGCTTTAATAACTATTACAATCCAGGAGTCCCAAAGGCCTGTTATCCTGGGTGTAAAGGGAGCAAAATAAACACAGCAGAAAAACTTTCGACTTGTATTATCCTTCACCAATTTAGAACAGAAGTATGTGCACTATATAGACTATGTACAACAATAGGTATTAGTGCACTCCACGGTAAGCAAGGCAGAATAGAAGCCACTAGAGAGCAGACCGTGCTTCAACTAGCTCTAGAATGGAAATGACAAGGGCAGACAGGAGAGTGGTACCCACAACACCTCTGCGATTGCCAAAACCATCTTCTCATTGGCTGGAACCTGGGTACTGATTGAGCGACAGGCCCCCATCATCAACCCTTAGTACCTGGATTGCTGATTGGGGGAGATAGCCTTTCAATGAGGGTGTGTACATGCACCGAATAAAGGTTACGTACTCTTTGCATGCCACAGTAACATACATTTTCATAGTGTTTATTACAATAAAATAATTATTAAATAGGCAATCTATATAATATATTTTTTTGTATTTGGAAAACTTCATACTAGTATGCATTTACATGAAAAGCTTTAATATAATCATGATTAGAATTATGATGTCTTTTTCTCTCAGATTGCAAAAGTTGCAGTGCATGCAGAAGACAACTCCAGGATGCTGCCTTGAAAAAGAAGAATCTAGTGTAGAGGTCTCTTTTGCTCAATTGGTGGTAAACAAATGACAATTATTATAATAAAGAAGCACTGAGCCTACAAGGGTCATACAGCATAGTGGGGTGTGAGGGAAAAGTTCATTAGATAGGAGTGGTGGAAATATGAATGATTGGTGGTGGTAGTTTGTTGGGCAGTACGCTTGTTTTGTTAGGTGTGGACATTGTTACTGCTACCCCACCTTTTTTACCTGGTGGGAGGTGACGTGTGTCCCTCCGACTAGTTCACAGTCACTTGACTTTAGACTCCCATCAAATCTGTAAGTATTCATTTCTCCTGTTTAATTTATCATGTGGGTTAATTTGGTTTAAACAAGAGCTTCAATCTCGTTTAGGTTTCACTAATTCTTCCTGTCATGATTTGGACTGATGTAGTGTAACATCATCATTTATCCTCACCATTTCTTTTAAAGGTCGTACTCCTATCATGTGAGTGATTTTTCGATTGATGTGTAATTTTGTGTTTATTTTAGCACTGTCAGCTCGGGTCATCCAACAGGCAAGATGAGAGGGGCAGCATAGATCTTGAACAGATCTTACATTCAGTCTGGCATCTGTACCTGCACTGGTCCCCTTCCACTGGTAGCTGACTCACAATCAGCTACACACCATTCTAGCAGCTGTTCCCCAGTTATCACCTCACCAACATTTCATGGTGGTTCTCTCCTGGCGACTCAACAACTTCACAAGTGTTGTGGTGGTCAGAGGATCCCAGTACCTCTGTTAGTCAGAATCCCTACTCGTGCTGGAGTCACTGTCTACTCAGTGTGTCAACAGTCATGTCCACCTGTGACCCACCCCCCATTATCATCATCAACAATGGCTCAGTGTTCCAACCCATAATTCAGAGCTGCATTCCCAGAACATTGGTATGGAATCATTATCCACTACATATTGTACATATTAGCTTTGAGTCATTAATTATTTATACATTTCATTTTTCATTTCTTTGCTTCAAGTAGGATTAATTTCATATTTAAGTATTTTATATTCTTTACTAGTTTTACATATTACAGTGGAACACCAGTTTTTGTCTTTAATCCGTTCTAGAAGGTCAGCCGAAAACTGATTTGTTAGAAAATAAAAAATTAACCTCACACCAGAAAATAGATGAAGGTATACTGGATCAACACCCGAGTACCTCTAGTGTACCAGTGCTGAACTTGCCTCCATTCACAGAAGGTTCGAAAATACCGCTGCCCTCTGTGAATGGTCCGCTGATATCTGGGCAACTAGGCTAGGTATGCTATTCTCAGGATTGCTTTAAATATACGTATGTGCCACCTTATCCCAAGATACAATCTGTGACTATAATTTATTAAAAAAGGCTATACTTAAAGGGTACTAGAAAACTCCGAATTATTTTAGGAAAGATTTCAGGTTTGTTTCTTTATAGGCGGGACTGAACTTTCAGCAATTTCCAATGACACTTTTTTGACTTTTTGGCTTCTGGATAGAGAGCACTGGAATTGATCACGATTATGAATCTCTTATTTCATGGCAGCTGACCAATTTCTGTCTGCTCTCCCACACCAAACTCAAACTTTTGTTAGAGAATGAGAATTGATCAAAGCTGATAAGGTTGCTGAAGCGGCTGACATACCTAGAGTATACCTGGAGAGGGTTTCGGGGGTCAATGCCTCTGCAGCTCGGTCTGAGACCAGGCCTCATGGTGGATCAGGGTCTGATCAACCAGGCTGTTTCTGCCAACCGCATCCAAACTGACATACGAACCACAGCCCGGATGGTCAGGTACTGACTTTATGTGCCTGTCCTGTGGTTTCTTGAAGACAGTCAGGGGTCTATTAGTAATCCCCCTTATGTATGCTGGGAGGCAGCTGAACAGTCTTGGGCCCTGGACACTTATTGTGTTGTCTCTCAGTGTACTCATGGAGTCCCTGCTTTTCATTGGGGAATGTTGCATCTCCTGCCGAACCTTTTGCTTTCATAGGGAGTGATTTTCATGTGCAAGTTTGGTACTAATCCCTCTAGGATTTTCCTAGTGTATATTATCATTTATCTCTCTTGCCTGCATTCCAGGGAATACAAATAAAGGGCCTTCAACAGTTCCCAGTAATTTTGGTGCCTTATTATACTTATGTATGCTGTGACAGTTCTTTGTATGCTCTCCAGGTCAGCAATTTTGCCTGCCTTGAAGGGGCCAGTTAGTGTACAGCAGTATTCCAGCCTAAAGAGAAAAGCAATTGGAAGAGAATAATCATGGGCTTGGCATCCCTAGTTTTGAAGTTTCTCATCATTCATCCTATCATTTTCCTTGCAGATGCAGTAGATACATTGTTGTGGTCTTTGAAAGCGAGATCCTCTGACATTATCACTCCCAAGTCCTTTGCATTACTTTTTTGCTCTATTTTATGGTTAGAATTTGTTGTATACCCTGATACAGTTTTAATTTCCTCAAGTTTTCCATATCTGACTAGTTGAAATTTCTCTTCATTGAACTTCATATTGTTTTGAGTGGCGTATTCGAAGATTTGGTTGATGTCCGCTTGGAGTCCTGTGGTGTCTTTGATGGAGGTCACTGTCATGGCAATTTGGGTGTCATCCGCAAAGGATGATAGGTATGAGGATGAGGAATAGAATGTGAGCGAGTACTGTGCCTTGTGGAACAGAGCTTTTCACCGTAGCTGCCTCAGACTTTACTCTGTTTACTATTACTCTTTGTGTTCTATTTGTCAGGCAGTTATAGATCCATCCAACTTTTCCTGTTATTTCTTTATCATGCATTTTATACACTATTACACCATGGTCACACTTGTCAAAAGCTTTTGCAAAGACTGTGTATACCAATCTGTATTTTGTTTATCCTCTACAGCATCCAGGACCTTGTCATAGTGGTCCAGTAGCTGGGACAGGCAGGACCACAACTTGTGTTGCCCTGGGTTGTGTAATTGATGAGTATCTAGGTGGTTGGTGATCTTGCTTCTTAGAACCCTGTCAAAGATTTTTATAATATAGGATATTTGTGCTATTGGTCTGTATTTCTTTGCAATTGCTTTACTGTCACCTTTGTAGAGTGGGGCTATGTCTGTTATTTTTAGCGAGTGTGCGATGACCCCCGTGTCCATGCTCCCTCTCCATAGAATGCTGAAGGCATGTGACAGGGGCTTCTTGCAGTTCTTGATGAACACAGAGTACCATGAGTCTGGGCCTGGCACAGAGTGCATGGGCATATCATTTATTGCCTTCTTAAAGTCTTATGGTGTTAGGATAATGTCAGAGATTTTTGAGATGGCCAGATT